TTTGTTAATTGCAATAACCTACGGTTGATAGGAGTTAGGACAAAGTTGGTTAAATATTTTATTAAATGCAATGTGGGCATAATGCTTTTTTTTTTTAATTAGATCAGAAGGGAACTAAGATCCAAATATAAATATTAGCCAAACTAGAAATAAAATCATACTTATCTTCAACAAATAGGATGACAAAAATAAGACTTGACGAATGACGAGCCATCGAGTGCAAATGAGTTGCCCTATTCTGTTTATACTCAACCAACAAAATAGAGAGCCAGACCAATGAGATGAGTGGCAATTAGTCGAAGGCAACGAAACACTCTTTTCAGGTTTAGTCGAAGCTTTTTTCTTCCGTTGTATTGAGTTTTTTTTTTTGGTGCGATGTTATTGAGTTCTTTAATTCACAAGAGTGTTTATTACTTTATTTAGTCAATTATTATTAATTCATGGGAAGAGCTACCAGTTAATACAAAAAATAAAATAATTAATTAAAATGGGGTAAAATACTTCGGATACCACTTAAGTTCGAGAATTGGGGCAGACATACCACTTAACTTTGAATAGGGCGTCGGGTACCATTAAAGTCACCAAAATGTGCATCCGTCTAGTTTTCCATCCAACCCAACATTTTAATTACTTTTTGGTACCCAAAACTTTTAAAAACATCCAAAAATATATTTCAACAAGTTTTTATCTAATATAGAAATTAAAAAACCTTCTAAACATAATATTACTAAAATGACTAATCAAAATTTTCAATAAAATAGATGAGTTAGTAAAAATAATAAATAAATATCAACAAGAAGAATAAATATATAGAATATAATAATAAATATTTAAAATCAAGATTAGAAGATCTATTTAAATCACTAATCTGATAAGAAGTACCATTAAAAATAGTTAAAATAGAATCTAATTGATCATCAATACATCAAGACCAAAGAAGGATAAATGGAACATAGTTAGAAAGAATTAAACATATTACAGTGATTGAAGAAACTTTAGAACGAAAATAGAACGAAGTAACCAAGAAAATTATACAACATCTAGATGATGTACGAGAATTAAATATAACATCCTCATATTATTTATATCGATATAGAATTCATAGGATATATTTGCTTAAGCAAATTATTCGATTATTATAACACATAATGGTAATGTAAAGTACTTATAATGATAATTGATTCCACATTTCCTATTCAAAAATTGGTTTGGTATCAAAATCTTAAAAAAAAAGAGAATAATTCAATTATTAGAAAACATAATGATAATTAAAAATACTTATAATAATAATTGGTTTTAAATTTTCTATTAAAAAACTAATTTGGTATCAAGTTTTCAAAAGAGGATACCAATTAAATAATAAAAATTGATGTTTTCATAAGTCAAAATGATTTTTTACAATAAGAAAAGTAGAAGGACCAATTAAGAAATTTAGAAAACAGAATATTTCAAGAATATTCTGTTAACTTTAACGGAATGCACTAAACATTAAACTTAAGTGGTATCGGGTGCACAAATAATAGAGTTCAGTGGTACCCGACGCCCTATTCAAACTTAAGTGGTATGTCTGCCCCAATTCTGAAACTTAAGTGGTATCCGAGGTATTTTACCCTTAAAAATGGGACAAATAACTGATGGCCGATTCTTCCGCTCGCAAAGCACAACAACACGGGAAAAGAGAATGCATTTTGGATTTTAAGTTTGACACCTAATAATTATAGACAGATGGCGGGACTGGATTGGTGAGGTGCACTAGGGAGGACTGATGAATGTGGTGCAGCAGGCGTACCCAAGTTTCCCCTTTTTAATGGTCAAGATAGCCAGAAAACTGGGTCTGGATAGTATAACAACAAGCTAAGTGTTGTTATTCTAACAACAAGGACATAACAGTAAAATGACAATAAAAATAATAAAACAAAAATAATAAAATTTATCACAGAATAGCGTTGGCGAGCAATCCCATTCTCTCTCCCATTCCAATCCCCATCGTCGCCGTCTCAGCCCCTCCTCTCCCACCAAAATTCCCGCGGCGGAGGCGGAGACATCACTATCGTCGGAGGCAGCGGGAGTGCCTCCACCGCCGCTGCTCCGTCGTCGTTCATGAAGGATTCCATGGATATGGTGCGCAGGATTAGAGGTGGCAATTAGGATCCAAATCCATGAATCCAATCCAATCCATCCACCAAATTATCCACATAATCCAATCCATTTAAATCCAATCCATTTGATCCAAATCCAATTGAATTGGTGGATTTATGGATCCATCCATGGATCCAAATGGCAAATTACGATTTGGTACCTATTTTTTATATTTTACATTTTGGTACCTAAAATTTATATTTTTATATGAAAAATATCATTGGAAAATTACATTTTGGTACCTAAAATTTTTCATTATGACATTTTAGTACCTAAACTTTTCAAAATTTACATTTTGGTCCAAGCCTTGGATGTTATTTGGATTCATGGATCAATCCACCAATCCATTGGATCCAATCCATGAATCCACCAATCCATTGGATCCAATCCATTTGATCGATGGATCCACAAATCCAATCCACGAATCCACGAATCCGATCCAATTGCCACCTCTACGCAGGATCTCACTGCTCGCGTGAGATTGCGGATTTCGACGATGAATCTGAACAGTTGGATTGCGATGCCGCCGCTTCCACTTCGTCGCGTGCTGCGGCCCAGTTGGTGCTCCGCACTGCTTGCTGCTTGCTGCGACCATGCTAGAGAGAGTGAGATCGCTTAGAGTTGGAGAGCGTGAGAGTTTCTTGTGATTGCAGAGTTCCGTAGCCGCTTCATCCTCCTGGAACCTCTTCGCATCCAGTGGCTCTGCACCCTGAAGCAAGCGACCCGCAATGAAAGCTCGATTACTAAAGTGTCTGATTGTTTGGATTTTATTAGGATTAGATCATTTGGATTCTTGTCCTTTGTGTAGTGGTAATTGAGAAAACTCTTGCTTTTTTTAGTTATATGGATGTAAGTAGTAATTGGCAACTCATGTGATTGATGCTACAATTTGGGCATTTATAGAGACTAGTCACAAATTTTGGTAGTGTATTTCTGGTTCTAACCAAAAAATATGGAAAAAATGTTCAAATGCATGCCACAAATCTTGTGAAACATAATAGAAATTGTATAAAGCAAACCATAAATGTTTCTAAAGTACACCACAAATCTCCTAGTACAAACCACAAATCTCCTAAAACAAATAAAAAACTCAACAAAGCAAACCACAACTATTTCTAAAACACACCAAAAACCTCTTAATGCAAACCACAAATGCCATAAAACAAACCAGAAACTTCTTAATGCATACCACAAATCTCCTAAAACAAACCACAAACCTCACAAAGCAAACCACAACATATGCGAAAGCATACCAGAAACCTCCTAATGCAAACCACAAACACAGTAAATCAAACCACAAAAAAGCAAACCATAAACGTCCTAATGCAAACCACAAATATATTAAAACAAACCAGAAACCTCACAATGAAAACCACAAAGTTTTTGAAAACAAACCAGAAACTTCTCAATGCAAACCACAAACACGATAAAGCAAACCACAAAAAGCATAAAAAAATATGAGAAACCAAACCATAAATCTCACAATGCTAACCATAACATCCGGTGATCGTTGACCGTTGACCGGTCAACGAAGACCATTGACCGGTCAACGAAGACCATTGACCGAACTCCGGTGACCGTCAGTGAGCAGATTCCGACGCTGATAGGCATATTCCGGCCCCGATGACTAGATTCCGATGCCGATAAGCATATTCCGGCGACAAATAGCATATTCCGGTGACCGCGTAACCAATTCCCGATAACCGGTGGCAGAATTTCGGCGACCAAATTTTTGGGCAAAAAATAATTTTTTTTATTATTTAAACATATTTTCATAATGACAACTATACCCCTGCTTTGATTTTACACTAGGTCAACTCAACTAATAAAAAGTCATCACATCCCTACCTTCCTATTGGTGGAAGACTAGTGTTGTCACTATAACAACACAAGGGGTGTTGTCATAGTAACAGGTCCCCAGAAAAATTATCATGTACATTCCTTTTTTTATATTTGTGTAATTGAATAATTTGGATTCTAACCATTAAAAAAATAATTTGGATTCTTTCACAATAACCTCTGTTTTCAGAACCGGACCGAAGGCTGAACCGACAACGTTAGTGGTTTAGGGTTCAACGGTTGACCGTTACAAAACCGTTGGTGAACCGTTGATAGAACCGTTCATGATATATAACATATAAGACTTGTATATTACACTAATTTAAAAATGAAATTATCAATGACCATAAACAAGTTCAAATTCATATCATCACCAAAATATTTAATAAATCATTCAAACCATCTCACTAAAGAAACCACATTTTTTAAATTCAAATTAAAAATTACAGTTCTAATCGGTAGTAGACAATGTAAAGTCGACCAGTGGACGAGTTAAAGCATTTTTTTGTTAAAATAGTGAGCCAGTAGACCAGTTAAACCGTGTTGGTTCATCTGATTTTATGTCGAACCGTGAAAAACCGTTAGGTCCATCAATAACTGTTCAAACAATGAACCGGACCACTATCGTAACTGGTTTGACGGTTCTACTGGCCCGGCCGTTGATCCGGTTCGGTTCTTATAACAATGACAATAACAAATAACAACGTGGCTTGATTCAAGCATTTACTAATCTGTCGATGTTAATTATCCGGCCAACAAACTGGCCCAAATCTAGTATTCATAGTAGATAAACTCATTCTACATATCAACCTCTAAACTTGATATTAGTCCATCCAAAATCCAAATATATGATGCAAACCATCCCCTAAAAGCCCGACAGTTACGAGATCCATTCAGATGCCCAGGGACCCAAGCCTATTGGCTCAGGTAGAAGGGCCCAATCTGGTTATAAAAAAAAAAGAAGGGCCCAATCTCTTTAATCAGCCATCAGGTTGGCCTTTTAGAAGCCGACGAAATTATGATGAATTTCCTTCTTTTTCTTTTCTGGTCTAAAATCAAAATCACGACAATTAGCAAATGTCGTCAACTCTCAACTCTCTAGAGGCCAAATCCAAACTCTCTACGGCTCTCTCTGATTAGTGATTACTAGATCCTTGTGCAACTGCCACAGAGAAATCCAGCAACATCCCAATTCCATCGCCATGACTTTTCCCTCTCTCTTTCTTGCTTTCTTCCTCCTCACTTCTTCCTTCTCCCCGCTCGCCGCCGGCTCGTCCGCCGCATACCCGATCATCCCCGGCACGGTGGACACCTCCGTCTCCGCCGCTCCATCCGACGACCTAATCCCTGTCCGGCGGGAGGTCTACGACGATGGGAAGCTATTCGACATCACCCACAGGTACACTTCCGATATGCCGGTGTGGGAGAGTGACGATGGGCTGGGTCAGTTTTTGTGGCTGCCCAAGAGTATGAAGAATGGGTCGCTTGCCAATAACTCCGAGATGAAGCTCCCTACCCATACCGGAACTCACGTGGACGCCCCTGGCCATGTTTTTGACCATTACTTCGATGCTGGTTTTGATGTCGACACTCTCGACCTGGAAGTTCTTAATGGTTAGAAGAGTTTCTGGGATTTGTTTGACGAGTCCATTTTTTTCATGTTTTGGTTGAAGGGAAATTTCTTGAGCTGCTTTGTTTTGTTGTTGCTCGTTGGCAGGTCCTGCATTGCTTGTTGATGTGCCGAGAGATACCAATCTGACTGGTACGCTTTATTGTTTAGCTGGTTCAGTATTTCTTTCATTGTTGATATTCTTGGGTATTCGAGTTGGAGGAGTAGGGTTTTGGTTGGACGATTGGGAAATTTAAGACCATTGTTTGGTGTATTCCAAATTATAGGTTTGTGGTTTTAAAACTGTATTTCAATTGCTGTGTGCACAAATGTTGAGCTCCAAGACCTTAATTAAGCCAAGAGAACTCCTTGGCTGCTCCTTCATGGTTAAGGTCTGTGTCATGTCTGTTTAACTCGAGCTATAGAAGTGTAGCTCCTTCCTCTCATTTTGCAAGTCAGATCAATCTAAAGGTTAATAAGGAAGGGCATCCATCAGGGGGAAGTAACGAATATGTGATATTTCATCGAATAATCCAATTTGGTTTGGACTCTTAATTCTAAAATCTTTTTTGCTTGCTCTTCGATTTGATCCCTTTAGTATAAAGAAATACACAAACCAAATAAGAAACCGAACTGGTTTGATTTGAACTTAATACATCTTTCAATTTAATTGTGATCCTCGTCCCGTCAATTTTTCATTATGGTGCTATTCAAATTCTATAAAATTTAAGATTGCACCTGACCATTGCCCACCCCTGACTAGGAAGGAAGCTGTATGCTCTTTTAATGAATTTGTAAGTATGATATGAAGCCGATAAGAATTGAGGTTGAGCTAATGTCCTTTACTTAAACACCTGCTGGTTCTTTGTTCCTTCTGTTTTGTCTCTCATTGTTTCCGTGGCCAATTACTGCTTGCAGCTGAAGCTATGAAGTCGCTTAACATACCCCAGGGTGTACGCCGTGTGCTGTTCAGGACGCTAAACACCGACAGGTACATACTTTCCCATCAGTGTATTCGTGATATTTGAGCTCCTCAAGTATTGCTGTATTGGTTAACATTTTCTTAGTAGTAATGAAGGTGTAATTCGTTGACAGATTCCATATAGCATACGATTTATAATATTGTTCCTTTTCTTTTGTTATGGTAATGTTGCAACAGCTAGTATCTTAAAGTGTAACAAAAGCTACCAAAAGCTTTTCTGTGCTACTGTGGATCCGTCTGTCTGTTTTGTTTGTCATTTTTATGTGATCCTTTTTTAAAAAATAAATTTTTGGGAACCTTTCTGGAGTAATATGCAACTAAATACTTCACCCTCAAGCTTTCTTCTTAATTCCTGACCTTTCTGGAGTAATATGCAACTAAATACTTCACCCTCAAGCTTTCTTCTTAATTCCTGCTCTTAGGGAAAGATGTTGAATTGTACCCTCTAATGCGAAGTGGATGATTTTGCCTTGTTTCAGGAAGCTTATGTTCAAAAAGCAGTTTGACACGAGCTATGTTGGATTTACCAAGGATGGAGCTCAGTGGTTGGTGGACAACACGGACATCAAGCTTGTTGGTAAGTTACTTGGTCTTATCAATACGAGTATTGGACCTTAGCTTCAGTTCTGCGCTGTCTATTATTTATGCGGATTGACAATTTTTGTGGTTCTGGGCACTATTTTGTGAACAATAGTCATTGTTCTTGCTTCTGTTGCAATCCTCACCTGGTTTCTTGCCTATGTATAGGAGTTGATTATCTGTCAGTTGCTGCCTGGACTGATTTGATTCCTTCACATCTAGTTTTTCTGGACAGCAGGGTAAGACTAATGAACACTTCATTTGGGGGAATTGGGTTATTGCCACGTTAAGTCATCATCTGTCCAAGCTCTGCAGTTTCCCTAATAACCCGAAAAATCTTGCAGGAAATCATTCTTGTGGAAGCGCTAAAGCTCGATGGCATAAAACCAGGGATATATTCAGTACATTGCCTACCTCTCAGATTGATCCGTGCTGAAGGATCACCAATTAGATGCATTCTCATGAAATGATCTGGTGGTATCAGACTGATAAAAGGCTCCACAATTAAACGTAGCAGGCTGGGGATTGGTGTGGAACATAGAACCAACCCCTTTGGATTGTAGAGCTCAGATAATCTGTATTGTAGAGTAATAAATTATGACTACACACGTTGGTTAATAGGAATAAGAAAGGTCGATGGCATCCGACCCGTTATGTTAATTCTGCAGATTGATGATGGTGTTAGTTTACTTTCCTCATCTTCCAAATCTCTAAATTGTAAACCATCCAAAGATTTTAGTCCTTCGGATTGTTAAAAAAAGATTTTAATTTTTCTGATGATATGTGTCTCACTTATGGTGCTTCTACTAAGGTTTCATTTCATACATAGTTTCTGTTGGAAGAAAACGTGTTATTAACAAGACAAAGGTCTTATGCTATGTATGGTAGAGAAACTTACCTTTTAAGCAAAGCTTTCCGGGCGCATCTTCTCGGTGATCGAGGAAAGCAAGCAAATGGCAAGTAAACTAGAAGAAGGATCTTCCTGTACGTAGCTGGCGGATTCAAATCAAAAGGTACTTACCATTTATGAGGAAGATTTGGAATCAACTCAGCATGGAAAGAATGCTCACTGTGCAACGGTCAGATTCTGCAAGTCTATAAAAGGGGCTTCTTGGTAGATAGGTTGGGCACCTTTCCGGGAGATCAAAATACTAGAGAGCGGGATTTGCTAAGAGTGTTTTGGTAGGAAAGGGGTTCAAGCATACGAGGAGTTGCTTAGTTCAAGCATCGGTTAGAAAGCTTGGGTTACGTGTTGGGATACACGGGTTTCGATTGACGAGGATTTAATCGAGGTGACGGTATTGGGAAATACCGGGTTGTTCATTTGTAAACGGAAGAGCGTCAAAGACATATCCTTAGTAGATCTTCGGAGATCACAAAGTCGTGAATCTCCGACCGTGGACTAGTCAGTGTTGAGATTCTATTTCTCTCAACACTGGAAACCACGTAAAAATTGCTTGTGTTTTTATTTCTGCAATTTTTCTGTTCTGCATATTTGGTTAACTGTTCTTCATTTGTTCTTGATCCAAAGTTCCAAAGGATAGCTTTGATCGAAAACCATTAAAGCAACTCTGCTTTTTGGTGTTTAAGTAAACGTCTGCGTTTTAGCATAGTTGGAGGTCTTTGGAATAAAGTGAAGTGAGCTGGGAAATAAGGTTGCAACGTGTTTTCTGTGGGCCAAATAAAAAAACGAGTTTCAATTAAATATTTGGGCTTGACTTCTGGCCCAAAACTTCCTTAATCCTACACGTTTTAGAAAAACAAAATTGAAAGTACATTGAGAACACTTTTCAGATCAAAACTTCTTCTTCCCATCGTTATTAAAGTTTTCCTTCGTACTAACATAGAAAACGTTGAATAGAAAGAAAACTGCAGGTGCAATTTACAGTCAATCGAAGAGAAGGCGTGCGCCACCGGGACCAACAAGTGGTATCAGAGCCTGGTTTGACGAAGCTAACTGCTGCCAAGTAAAGGATCCATGGCGTCTTCTAATTTTGGTCGTGCAGCTCTTAACTCCTCTCCTATCTTCACTGGCTCGAATTACACGGCCTGGAAGAGGAGGATGAAGACGTTCCTCTGGGCAATCGATGAGGACTTGTGGCTGGTTGTTCGTGACGGCCCGCTCGAGATGAACTTCGAGCAACAATCTACATGGTCCGCAGCTCAAAAGAAGAGCGCTCATCTGAACTGCATGGCGATGCATATCCTGCTGTCGTCAATGGGAGCTGATGAAGTTGCCCGGGTGGAGCAGTGCGACACCGCCAGAGAAATCTGGGTTGCTCTCGAGAGCACCTACGAAGGTACGGCCAATATTCGTGAAACTCGTATAGACTTATTATTACACGAATATGAAGCTTTTGATATGAACTCTGGAGAAAGTATTCATGATATGTACACACGATTCACTGCTCTGGTTAATCAATTAAAGGGTCTAGGCCAATCGTTTCAATCTAAGGAGTTGTGTAGGAAAATTCTGCGTTCTTTACCTAAGGAATGGCTACCTAAAAGGACCGCCATAGAAGAGGCCAAAAATCTGTCTACCTTACCTATCGATGAGTTAATAGGATCTCTCCTAAGCCATGAACATGTTATTAAACAAGTTAGTCGAGATGATAAAAAACGTCAGAGAAGTTTAGCTTTTAAATCCCAAGTTGTTGATTATGATTCTGACAGTGATGCTGATCTTGAATTTGATAGGGAATTTTCCCTTGTTAGTAAGAAATTTCACAGAATGCTTAAGTATAAAAATGAACAGAACAAACGAGGGAGTGATTTTATCAAGTCTAGTACTTATGATTGTAACAAATTTGTTTCCAAAGATAGGCTGCCCCAACAGCAGACCAGAAATTTAATTGCAGGTATTTCGGCAAGGGAATCACAGACATGCTATAAATGTGGTAAATCTGGGCACATACGTGCAAACTGTCCTCAGAGTTCAAAGACAAAAGAACGTGAAATGGTGGCTACCTGGAGTGACTCTGAATCCAGATTGGATAATGACAGTATTCATGAAAGAGCATACATGGCGTGCACTACTGGTAGTGAAACAAATGCATCTGATGTCGATGAGGATTTGTCTTTCAAATTAGCTCATATTGAGGTAAAGCCAGACTCCGAGTCGTCCAAGGTAAATTCTGGCGATTTCTTATCAGCTTTGAGGAACTTAGAAAATGAGTGTCGTAGCTTAAAGATTAGATGTTGTTGTCTTCAGGAAGAGGTCCATAAAAAGACTTCTGAGGTAGTGAATCTTACTAGAACCATAGAATTAAACAACATTAAACTGGCCGAGCTGCAACGTGAGAATATTGCCCTTAAAATGGACAAGAATCATCTCTACCATCTGTTAGAACATAAATCCAACTCTGATCTATCATCTGGTAGTGAACCAGTCATTGTTTCAATTGTTAAAAAGTCTAGCAAAGGTAGAAAGCATCACACAAGTCGCCCTCAAGTCCATCCTATTAAGGCTGCTAGCAGTAAGGTCTTTCATTCCACCTTGAAGTTTAACCACAAGCATGTGCATAATAGGTTATATCACGATAAGAGCTTGCCAAATCCAGAACATAAATGTTATCATCATAATAGCTACAACAAGGCTGGTTTCTTATGCTTCGCATGCTTAAAACCTGATCATGTTAGTAGCAATTGCCATCAGACACTTTCTTTGCATCCTCGAATCCAAAAGCCTATACTCAAACAGGTTTGGGTTCGAAAGAAAAGTAATGCTTGATCTTTCAGCTTTTGGGAGCTGTTGAATGTTTTTGGCTTCTTGACAGTGGGTGCTCCCAACACTGGATATGTAAGCAAAAGTCATGCTATCTTTAGCATTCTAAGGTTGAAGTATATCGCATAGATCTACTGGTTCAGCTTGCTCCATGCATTTTGATAAGTCATGTAGTGCTGATTTACTTGGTGTTCCTAAGTACTCATGATGGTAAATGTAGAGGCGATATTCATGTAACATCCTCATGCATTTTTGCTGCATTATTTTAATGTTCTCATATTTCCTTTTATCTCATAGCAGCTTGCAAAGAAGAATTTAATCCTAGGTCCTTTTATGCTCATTTATCTCTTACTGCTAGTGCACTCTAATTCTTACAACTAGGTGGAAGATGCTCGATCTTAGAGAGAGACTAAGTTCCTTCTGTATCGAGACTGCAACTTGAGGGGGAGAATCTCCTGCTATTTTCATGTTGCTGCATTTTTAGGTCGTTGGTGATTTTGCTAGTGTGGTTGCTTTCTATTGAGTTAGATGTTGCCACAACTTAGCCTTTTCTAGATGTGCATGTTTTTAGTTAATCCATCTTAGATTCACTTGATTGCAATTGACGGGGGAGATTGTTGCTTCTCCTGTTACTGCTTTTTAGCTCTCTCTTGCAGTTGCTGGATAATGTTTCTACTAAGGTATTTTGAGTTTAGAAACTGTGAGTGTAGGGCCATTTCTATGTTCTTACACTATGATTCAGTTTATTACTAAGGTTTGCTTTTCCTCACTATTCCATGCTCTACTTGACTGATCTTGTACTTACATATGAGTTGCTGCAACGCCCTAGAACTCTTGCATAATCAGGAACTATGTGTCTCTTTGCTTAAAATCAAGGGGGAGAAACTTGCATAAACTCTTAGTTCATGTGTGATTTTGATCAGAGACTAGGATCTAGTAAAAAAATTATCCTTACGGGTCTAATTTAGGGGGAGCAAAACTGAAGTGCTGATGTTTATGTCACTTTGCTCATAATTGAAGATCATGAGGCTAGATCTGTTAAGTAATCCATCAAATTGGTTGATGAACATGGGGTTGTCTTTAGAAGTGTATCTTATCTGATCTAAAGGCTGCATTGTTTTCGTAATTTGTCCAGCACTGTCATGTCATAGTTAGCATTGCTAATATCACGTTTAGGGGGAGATTGTTGGAAGAAAACGTGTTATTAACAAGACAAAGGTCTTATGCTATGTATGGTAGAGAAACTTACCTTTTAAGCAAAGCTTTCCGGGCGCATCTTCTCGGTGATCGAGGAAAGCAAGCAAATGGCAAGTAAACTAGAAGAAGGATCTTCCTGTACGTAGCTGGCGGATTCAAATCAAAAGGTACTTACCATTTATGAGGAAGATTTGGAATCAACTCAGCATGGAAAGAATGCTCACTGTGCAACGGTCAGATTCTGCAAGTCTATAAAAGGGGCTTCTTGGTAGATAGGTTGGGCACCTTTCCGGGAGATCAAAATACTAGAGAGCGGGATTTGCTAAGAGTGTTTTGGTAGGAAAGGGGTTCAAGCATACGAGGAGTTGCTTAGTTCAAGCATCGGTTAGAAAGCTTGGGTTACGTGTTGGGATACACGGGTTTCGATTGACGAGGATTTAATCGAGGTGACGGTATTGGGAAATACCGGGTTGTTCATTTGTAAACGGAAGAGCGTCAAAGACATATCCTTAGTAGATCTTCGGAGATCACAAAGTCGTGAATCTCCGACCGTGGACTAGTCAGTGTTGAGATTCTATTTCTCTCAACACTGGAAACCACGTAAAAATTGCTTGTGTTTTTATTTCTGCAATTTTTCTGTTCTGCATATTTGGTTAACTGTTCTTCATTTGTTCTTGATCCAAAGTTCCAAAGGATAGCTTTGATCGAAAACCATTAAAGCAACTCTGCTTTTTGGTGTTTAAGTAAACGTCTGCGTTTTAGCATAGTTGGAGGTCTTTGGAATAAAGTGAAGTGAGCTGGGAAATAAGGTTGCAACGTGTTTTCTGTGGGCCAAATAAAAAAACGAGTTTCA